GCTGTTGTTGATGACAAAATAGGATTGAAAGACAGAAATTGTAGAATGGGAGGATCCGCAATCGGTGGTTGAGACGCCAGGTGCTTCTTTAGTGCACCAACAAGATCTGTTTGCTTACCCAGTTTTTCAGATTTTTTTGACGGTGCATTTATGACCCTGGGGACCAGACCCAGTCTCAGGTGACCTATCGGCTAACAACAATTCTACTGTGACGCTGGTTGTCAGAGGTTACCAGCCGTATTCGATTCTAAAATATGTAGTGCCTCCGAGCCGCTTAAGAGCTACCCCTACCACGTTGCCTAATGGCTAGTGATCGGACGAACTCAGTCTCCTGGTCGTCCAGGTTAGAGGTTGGAAACAGAATCGCTGCTATTAGTGAAAAACAGATCGCTGTTATTCCTCCATTGATTTGCAGACAGACTTTTGAGCCAAACGTTTTGGCTGAGGATCCCAATCGTTCCTTGTCTAGGCATGTGGGCGTTGATAATATCTCAGCTAACGTACAACAACAACTTCAACCATATCCTGCATCAGCCGTCGCGCGCCTCAAACGTATCTCCTAATCTGCTGCATACGGCTGGGCGGATTAAGCCAAAACATGCTACTACTGGTGCTTCCCACATTACTAACCTTCCTTAGGTAATTCCCAACCTAACTAGCAACAGCTGCAATAACATTAAAAATCTGTGTTCTCGCATTACCCATAAGAGGTTTGTCGGCTACAGATCATCATAAGAGAAAGCTGTTCCGTTATCTGGCGGCATTCAACGTTCGCACTGCGACAAATAACTCAACAGACTGCACCCAGGCACATTAGACGCATCGAGGGTTGATGTCTGTGGCATATCCGAAATCAGAATCGTTAACCCTTAACCAATTGCATTTGTATTGTTCTCTCGCTGTTGGTTTCACGCATCCGAGGACGCTGATGCGACAAGCTGGGAAGAGAATTGTTCTCAGTTCCATCGTTAGTTGGCTGAATTATCTTTTGTGTGTAGCCTGTTTGGCGATATCGGTCAACTTGAACTCACAAAATAGCACAAGACGCTGTTTTTGGTTTTCGTTTATGCCACCACCAGCTGCAGTTTTGATGCTGCCAAGGATACCCTCTACCAAGAATTGAACACGATACTTCGCAACATTACCAGTTAAGATGTCGTTGTTGTTGCTGGTGATATGAATGCGCAAGTAGGCCGTTTGAACTCCTCAAAATCTGAGCTAGGTCCTAACTATGGACGTAAGAACAATGCCGAGCGTCTGTTGCAAAGTTAGGTGGAGCACAGGCTGTTTCTTAATAACACCCCTATTAGACACAGTGGGCGTTGAAGTGCCACTTGGCGTTCCCCCATAGCTGGACAGCGATGGACCAAAGTAAGTCATGTGCTATAAGTGGCGTGGCTCTATCCTTGGTTGTCGACCGTACTGGAATACATGCGTCGAGTCTTATCACGCTTTTATATGCAGTCTTTTCTCTGAAATTCGTCGGGAGGCTTACCAAAATGTTCTTCGGTAGGTAACCGAGAAGTTATCCCAGTCAAGTAAGTCTACCAGGATGCCATGTGCAGCGAAATTTCACCTTTTAGCCCGAAAGACAACGAGCTTCAGTGGGGCAGAATCTCAGCAGCCATGCGCCACAGGGGATCTTCTGCTTGTGACACCATCAGTCGTCATCGCACCATTCACTGGATATCCGAGACGTCGGCGAATCTGTTGGAACCTAGAGAAAAACTCACTGTTGGCTCTGAACACAATGCAAACAGACGGGCTGTTAGGCATGAAGTACAGCGAAAAATGCTTGTTGGTAAGAAAGCTTTGTGGATCAGCAGGGTTCAAGAAAAGGTGTCTAAACTGGTCCGCTACACTAGTCAGGGGAACTCAAGCATCACTGAGACAGCATGGACTTTCTAATTCACAATAAGGAACACCATCTCGCTCGCTTCGAAAGCAATTCAGTTAGCGTTCTTTATCTTCTGTGGATGCTTCGCCGTTCAGGTACGTTACAACTGCACGCTAAGCCCACCAATGGCTCAAGCAACCTTAGCCGGTTCCCTCGGCTATTCATAGGACAGATTCCGCTGCAAATGGAGGTTCCACCAACGAAGATAGACCGAGCTCGGGGCAAACCACATCACAACGTCGTTTCCCTATTGTCGTGGAACTTGTGACCAGAAGTAAATGCTCTCACAGACCCTTCCTTCAGTCATATTGCTCGTTGTGAAAGGCACAGAGACGTTGTGAAATAACTTATAGCAGCAATCTGCCGTTGGGGAATTCAGATTACAACAAAATCTAGAACACTCACGGTGAGCTTTTTCATCAGACCCAACTCGTTCACTATCAAGGGAACTACGGCGTATGTTGTGGACGTTGCTATTTGTGACGCATCATATATTGTTGTTATACAACACAGCCAGAGGTAGAAAACACCTCAGCTACTGTGCCGTAGTACATTAGAAAAGAAAGGAAAGATACAAAGGTGAACGCCAGCTGAGCTATCAGTAACGGATGGGCATCGTTCCGGAAAACTACCAGCCGGTTACTACGCGGAGAAAAAATTGTATTACGCAAAATTTATTATGTTAAGAAATAAGATCGCGGTTGTAGGGGGACAAAGAAACACAACAACTGAGGTCGACTCCTAGCCATGTCAGCAAGTGTATCCAACCAAATGTGTTCATCGTCTTTCGGACCCCAACCAGGGAGCCGTGAAGCTCCAATCGAGGCGAGCTCCGACGTGAGTGCTTTCATTCCTCTCGACCAAGTCATCGCTTGGCCACCTCTCCTCTTCTTCCATCCACACCCCGGGCGCGCAAACGACGCATGTTGCGGGAGCCGGTGGGCTGGCATGCGCAACACGTGGCCCAACCATCGGAGGCTGGTGCGTGAAATAATGGTGCTGAGCGGTTCATTTCCTCTTCCTGTGCCGTAAACAAGGCGTCGAACAAGCTGGTCGCTCACGTGGTGTTCCCACCAGACGTGAGCCAAACTGCGAAGGCACCGGTGATCGAACGTAACTAGCCTCCTTATGTCTGTTGATATAATGGGCCAGGTTTCACAGCCGTAAAGCAGAGACAGTTATGTCGCGCCGCCGCCATAGGTGGCGAAGGTTAGCAAAAGCGGCTCGAGCTTTTGCTATACGGTTTTTGATCTCATCTTCGATCCCAAGAGCGTTGATACAAGTTCCCAGCTAGCTGAATTTTTGAGCGACTTCCAGCTGATCCCCACCAACGGTCAGCGCAGGAGGCGGTCACAGCCAATGTTGGAGGAAAGCTTTGTACTTCGGCGGTGCAAATCCTAGCCCGAAACGGCTGACAGCCAGTGCTAATCTGTCCAGTGCCGTTTGGCACGTTTTTGAGCTGTCACTGATGAGGGCAATATCTTCAGCATATTCCAAGTCAAGATGTCGTTCACCTGGTCGCAGTTCCACACTTTCTAAGTCGTGTCTTGTGAACGTGGTCTTCATGATTTCGTCCATGGCAAAGAGGGAAGGTGACAGCGGACATCTGTCTCAAACCACTGGATATATTGAAGGGCGGCGACAGTTTGCCGTAAGCCCTGGCTCTGTCCGGGCTACGCACGTACGACGCTCGGACAATATTTACATATTTCTCGGATATACTTTTCTTTAGCAGATAGTGCCAAAGGGCACATCGATCCATCGAACTGAAGGCATCCTTAATGATGAGAAACAAGACTACGGTTGGCTGCTAATATATGTGACGGTGTTCAAACAATTGACGCAAAGTGAAGATGTGGTCAATGCAGCCACGACCTAGACGAAATCCGGCTTGCTCTTCACAAATCTAGCCTTCAAGAGTGCCAGTCAGTCTGTGAAGGATGACAGAGGCAAGCAATTCGAGGCTATAGCGCTCAGACTGATTCCTATATAATGACCGCATTCCGATCGTGAGCCTCCCGTGAAAATTGGGATTATTACGGAGTGGCTCCAGACGGTCGGGACAGTTTCACTAGTAGCTAGTGTAAATGTCAAATAGAGCAAGGCCCTCCAATTTGAAGGGGACTGGTCCCACGGCTTTATTCACCTTCAGCAGTCCGATCTTACGTTCGACTTCTGAGCGAGAGGATGAATCCAAAGGGACAGCCCATGCAGCAGAGCGATCAGTGACCGGCGAGAAATCTGACAAACGATCCAAGCGTTTTGACAACTTGTGGATAGGCTGTCCACTCTCGTCACTATAGTTTCACTAACACCAGGTCTCCTGCTGCCCGTTTCCCGTATCAGACGGAATAACTTCCGACGGTTACCAAAGGCTGGCTTGAGTACGTATTACTTATGCCCGGTCACCGTTTAACGAAGGCATTGCTTTGTCTGCCAGATGTAGGGTGGCGCAAAGCTCGAGGTAAGCACTAGCTAACTTGACTGCGGAAAATAAAGTTAATTACGACCAAACTCGGTGCCGTTGTTCCATCCCGTCTTCCAGGCTGGAGTCCACGTGACTCGCCTTGTGCTTGGATCGAGACTTTACAGGACATGGTTCGCAGTTGGCACCAGTAGCGCGTCTGCTATCGTCTACTGGCCGGACTGTCAGTTTAAAGTGTGTTTGGTGCTGAGTTGTCTGCGAGATAATGGCTGGTTATGACGTGGGGCAGTGAAAGACGCAAGGAAGCTGCCTCGCTGATGCACGATAAGACGGCTGTATGTGATGATGTGGCGTTGAGGAATAGGCGCTTTGACACTGACTGTTTGCTTAGAGTATTTAGGTTTCACCCTAGGTCTCCCTTCTATCCCAGTTGTCATTCTTCGTTCCGCAAATCGTCATGGCTGTACGGCAACGAAGAACCAGTTCAAATGACTGATGATGCTTTATCAATTAGTATTGGACTCTTTCGTTTGGTGCTATGAGAGAGTGAATGATGTTAATGACTTCAGAGAGCATATATCTCCATTCTGTGGTAGGAGAGATTGCGTTCCGATCACAGTCAAACAGAGCGCGTGGAGTGAATGGTTGTGAAGGACAAATTGACAATGTTTCGCTCACTTGTGATGGTGGGGATGCGTTAGCCATAGCGCTGCTGACCGCGGTACCCGGTGCTTCCGGGCGGAAGTCCATCTTGCGCTGCTCAGTAGACAACAGATGTTGGACGTGAGAAATAATCAGATTTAGACATCGGTCCAGACCGTTTTGCAATTTGCTTTCCAGCTCTTGATGAATAGTTTGGCGCTTAGTATTGAGTTCTTGCAAGTGCACAGAAGAAGTGCTGAATAATAGAAGGGATGAAGCGTACTAGCATGTTATACCGCGTAGCATATGAACAAAAGAACACAGTCATAACTTGGAAATAACGACTTCATCAAAGTAGAGAGGAAGAGGTGAGTACATTGTGACAAAACTTGAACACAGGATCAGACGCTGTTTTCCGCAGAAGGTACTGTCGCCAAGCTTTGATTAATGTCGCACACACCAGCTGCCGAAAGTTAAAGGAGAATTTCACTAACAAGCTCAACCTTACGGTTACCTGATAGTAAGATAAGCCGTTTAATTGTATCTATTGCACGAATGTAATGGTTTAAGTCGTCTTTTATGGTTCCTAGAAGCGTCAGCAGTATACCAGAACTCCGTACAGACGCCACGCAACTACTACCAGTCGCGCATGGGCTGTATATACCACGGCTTCGAATTAGTGTCCTCTGGATTGCAAGGCCAGCGGCGACAGGGCTCCTAGAAGAGTCGTATGATCAATAATACTTACTCTATTGTAAGCGCCCGCAAAATTTCGACGACGTAGCAGCCCGGAACAGTTGACCGTGACGCAATCCGAAGCTTATCGGCCAACTTTTGAGGGCGGGCCTGATGATGACATTTTACCATGAGGATGGTCTGCATTAAAGCCTGACAGTGAGCGATATGTCATTCCCTTATTAACTATTGACTTGACCCTATTATTTGATTGTTTATACTGCTTGCCGGGACTTCAATATAGTTTTCGCCTGAGGCCTTTGTCTTCGAGCCCGGAAAGTCGGCCGGTCAGCTTGTGCACTAGCAGCAGGTTATCCGTATAGTCAGCGGAAAACACAACAGGCATGACCATGTTAACTAAAAAACCGTGCAATGAACGAGGCGAAAAAGCATTTGTGCACTAACCGAGTTAAGGAAAGTGGTGTTTGCCCGTCAACAAGAACGATGGTTTATGAGCAATTTGCGGTCATACAAACAAATTAAGAGAAGTAGACCTATTGATAAGGAAAAAGATAATGAGCGGAGCCTAACTCAGTGTTGGACCTAAGAGCATTAGGTATAATTTGAGAACAAAGCGCCCACATATCGTTGTAAATAGCGGATCATAGTTTGAAAAAGGCGGTGTCTTGGGTCAGCTCTTGTGCAGATCTCACCACTTCGCATTATAGCCACATCTAAGCACTAATCATACTTTAAACGATCCGACCAGCCGGGAGACGACTGCAGACACTCATTTGGTGCCGTTCTCTGGCCATGTTCTACGAAAAAATAGAGCGAAGCGCGTAAATTCCAATTTGAAGGTCAAAACGGACCAACAACAACATCGGTTAGCAGAAGTACAGACTCGCTTTCAAAATCAGTTTTCTTCTGTTTTATATAACTGGTACACACAGAGTTGCACCGATACGTGCGCGCCTAATGGCATGTCTCATTGCATGGACAGCACTGGTTGACACTGCCGAAGAAAACGTGAATGAGTATGGCGAATTTCACAGCAGATCAGAAAACTTCACTGGGTAAGCGCCTACCTTACTATTGGGATAATGGATTCGTCCATGGTTTTCTCGAAAAATTGCAAAATCGAAGAAGCGTCGTGGACAACAGTGAGGAAGATCGGGTTCGGAGAGACGTTTTTCGGATCGGTTAACTGCAAACCTGCGAAAAAGAGGGTTTTACGAGAAAGTGACGATGTAAATTGTGTATCGACAGACATTAGCGCGTGCACAGTCGCATGAAACGGTGAACTACTCCAGGGATGAAGACATCAAGAGAAACAGAACTCGGTGCCAAAGTGTGACGCATTGTTGAAAAACGAGACGGATACCCAAGCTTGAAGTTGTGATAAACCACAATTGCGGTTGTGACCTAGCACAGCACATTGTGCCATCTTGAATGACCACGTATAACATACACAGGTCACATCAGCGCATCGTTTCGGTTGGCAAAGAACAAGGTGTATACTAGAGCAATCGGGAATGTGAAGTCTACCACTAAGAGTGCTTAGTTGCAATTATACTGGGTCACCACCATGCAGATGATCGAAACACTACGCGTTTGCGCGAAACTCAGCCGACATGACGCACACGGGCCACACACTAACTGGAGCTCCAATAGTTATCCATGTGAATTTGGGTGTTGCACTTTCCGAATAAATGCTTACGATTCGGTGTATTACAAGTTGGGACACAATGGTATTCTGAGAAGTTGGTTTTACATACATACTCCTCAAGTCAAGTCAGCATAAGCTTTATATATCCAAATGGGTGCATTTTCTATTAGCAACAGTAAATTTACCAAAAGGTTACCATTAAAAATGCTAAGATTTACAAATTGGTAGAGAAATGTGCATGCACCGTCACAGATCGATCGAGCAAAGAACCCGAAAAGCTGAACTAAATCTTCGGGATTTGTACTCATTCAAAACGGCAACGGCTCCATAAAAATGTTTCCTCATAATTCGCTTCAATTGTGTGTACAGAGACAATAGATCGAGGATCCTGCGCGATATCACGTGTTTATATTCAGAGCTGGATACAGTAGATGGTTCCAGTGACCTTGGAAGTTGATTGAACAAATTAAACGTCAATGTACTCTTGCAAAACTGAGGTCTTAGTCATACAGTAGATAATGAAAAACATGATGTTCGTCGAAAAAGTCAACGGCCGACAGAGGCCGCGGAGTTCGGATGCCACGTTTGCTTGGGCAGTTGGTGTTGTGAACGGAGTAGTCACACAAGACTACGCAAATTCAGGTACTTCGCCAAGAAACTAATGCCACTATTCGCAAAGCCGAATATGTAGATGTGAGTGCTCTGGCACTAACTTCACGGTTCGAACAGCACACATGGTCGGGTAAGCAAAAGACATACGAGGAGGACGGGTACGTCTGAGGCTAAACAAGCGCGATTTGTTTCATGGGTTATGTGATTTACATGGCAGCGAATCAACTGGTCAGTCGCTTGGCTGTGATTTTGGGAGAGGCCTCCGAAAGTCAAATATGAGAGGACCGACTCCGCAGATGCAAGTCATGGGATGAATCAGATACCGTAGATAATAACAGCAGCACCAACGGTGATTTCTTGGTGCACCTCAACTCGGTGGACCTGAACGCAAATAGTGATGAATCAACGTAATGCCGAGTAGTAATTCTGAATTCCTTGGGGCTAAAACTAGGCTGCTCCGCTTATAAGCAAAAGAATAATAAATCGTGTATTCTCCTTATCATCAAATTTTAATGTGTTCGTGACACGTTAAAGGTACGGAAATTGCACGATGCAAATGCAAAGATCGGGCTGCTTTATTTGTTCACTGGCGATTCCATCCGAGGTACACCAGTGCCATGAAAGAACGCTTCCCTGTCATGAGTTCGCAAAAAAACAGTGTGTACGGCTAGGATAGCATCAAAAGACTGCTGTTAATGGCTTCTGTTTGCTTACCCTGTGGTTGCGCTGTCGGGATTCTTGGTGAGTTTATCCGTACAGCGGAACCAGTTTGTTGGATTTTTGTAACATCCAGTACCACTTCTGATTTCACTTTTAGGTCATATTTCTACAGATCTGAGAGTTCCTTTTTGCAAACCATGCTTTGCTATTTTACGTCACTTAATTTTTTCAAAATTTCTAAGTGATCACCTTGTGGTTCCTGATCGAAAATTGTTGGACGCACAACAAATGCCATTATGTGTTTTGATTGCTATGCTGACTTCCATGTTTCGTTTGTTGGATTAACTGCCGATTCCTATCGTCTGTTGCGTTCCACGCAACACAATTTCATTTAAATTTTGTGCAATGATTGTTGTAGTCGAAGGCAACAAGAGAAAGGCGTGCAAATCGTGGCCGAAAATGTTTCACTCTGAACAGTTCTAGACGTATGGTCACATAAACTTTCCTCCAGTTCCTCTGATAATTCACTACTTCACATTTCTAGTTTTTCCGGAGTTATTATCTGGAGTTAATTGTCCACTAACTTTGTGTTCTTTTAGCTCCAAAGACCCAAATAATGTATGTTCGATAACTGAGGTGCCATGGATAACTAAACGTTGAAAGAAGCCGCGAAACGAAGAGAATCTAGGCAAGACAAGATCGAGACCACCGTCTGTGGTGTTATGTTGCAGCATTAGTCAGGCTGGTTGCCTATCGCACAGGCGAGCTGAGTGGATTTAGGCCGACCGTTTGAAAGTTGATCGATTGCCACCAGTCAAGTAACAACGCCCACGCATATGAACGAGAAGCCCGCACGACGCGATCGATGAATATGCTAAGTTGTGGCCAGCGACAGCCCATCAAGGAAGGACGAATCGGAGTCGCTCAACGGTGCGCAGTTTATCCTATAAATAATATGTTACCTACTGAGCAAGTAGATTTCTGATCGCGGCCCGGATTTTGGTTTTTGATTAACGGAACGTCAAACGACATGGTGACAGAGGAAAAGAAGAGACCGATGTGCAATCAACAGCTTTGTTTTGGCTGGTAGCCATTTGTAGCGATGCCGACTCCTGTATCGATGACGGTTGGTTCACTAACCGAGAACTGACGGCTGTGGAAAGCGAAGTGGATGGACCTAGGGTTATTGGTCAAATTGGATGATTATCCTATACCATATCAGTTAGGCAATGTTCGGGAACTCTATCGGCCATGATGCGATGCGGATACTAGACGCCTGGAATTTTTGGGATCAAGGACAACGACCTTATCTTTCGGAATTGGTCGAGAGATTTGGTGCTTAGTGTGAAGGCCGATTAAAAGATTTCACTTGTTGCTGTCCATCGACCAACGTTAAGGTCACTTGATGGTAAAAACCGGCAAGAAACGCAAGAGATGCTAGTAAATAACAAGTGTAATTACGATTGGAAGGGATGCGTTATTGCAACACAACCGCAAGCTGAATTTCGAGCCACCGTAAATGTGACACCCGTGAAAATTTCGGCAAATCATTTGCGAGACTCTTTTCGAAAACGTTTACGGCGGCGAAAGACGCCTCATAAACACGAATCAAGGCAGTCTCAATTTCTAGCGCCTGGAGACGGAGTATGGTTTAAACAGATACCTAGAACTGAAAGGGAGACTATCGAGTGCGGATGGAAAGGTGACGTGGCGGACAGGATCTGCAGTCTGAGGAAAAGCCGCCTCAGCAGAATAAACCAACTAAGATCGTAACCCACGCCCGAAAGCTCTCCCACAGTGGAAGACAATACGGAACCTCTAACACCAAAAGGATGAAGACACAAGAAAAAGGATGCGGTGCAGCATTAATCATGCTGATTGCCTATCGCACGGGCAAGCTGAGTTGATTTGGGCCGACCGTCTGAAAGCTGATCGATCGCCGCCAGTCAAGCAACAACGCCCAAGCGTATGAACGGGAAGTGGCCCGGACTTTGGTTTTTGATTCACAGAGGGTCATCCGACACCATGTACTTGTAGGAACCGCTTCGAATGATAAAAGGTGATTAAATCTGATAGTTTTTTAAGCGCCTGAGTTCACCGACTTAAGTCTTCATGCACGATATGATTACGACGTTGAGTTCTTGCAAAGCCTAGTTGGAGGGCTGTGGATGAGGATAGAGTGAAAGTCATCCTCCTCCGCAGTCACTACTGAGAAGGCCGAACTATGTGGGGTACCTTATGCCGACAGGGCCAGCTCAAAGCTAATACTGCCCAGGCTGATGGTGCATATGTGTCGGACCTAGAGGGCCTTAAGTATGTCACCATCGAGCTAGAGCGGCGAACCGGATAGAGAAACAAACCTACGTAGTGCAGATTTTCGGGTGATTACAACACGAATGCGAATTGGGACAAACCGGCCGTTCACTCTCCAGGCACGCCCGGTATATCCTACCGCGAAATGTCTACAATTTTATGGACCAACGTGGTAAGCTGTACCGATTCGTTGCTTCTAATCGACCAGAGGTAGTGGGACTCGCAGTAACGTGGCAGAATGATGAGATACTCGCCAAGGAAGTTGAGCTTATTGGCTGCTTGTGCTTCCGTTATGATAGTCTATCGAATGCTCGTAGTATGGTCATGTTCAACACCCGATCTTCTCTGTGTGGGGGACTTGTGAGCGCTTACCGAAGCGACCGTGGCCTATGCGAGCATTTGTGATTCTAGACTCACCTCAGGCGCGGACAGCCGCATGTGGGCGCAGTTTATTGCAACCTCTTAAGCCGTTGTTTGGATTGGCTGCTGTATCTGCAGAACCACATAAACCACCACTATTTTCTGCCCACAGGCGAACTCACTTTTCGTCGAATATGTTGGCCTAAAGTTACTCCCGGAAATTATGAGTTCGAAGCAAAGTTGGCTGAAGTGGTACTTTAAACTGGGATTATCTGCCGACTGATGCGGATAACACCACACTCATTAACAAGCTTTGGACAACGTGTGTCAGATGGGGGGCCCTGGCAGCAAGCAACCACTTAGTTCTCAAACCCAACATGGAGCTGTCGCTGCAGCTTTCCCATGCACTGAAGCCAGCTTAAAACTACTAGCAAACAGACATCAACGATATGACTCAAGCCACATACCAATTGGACTGGTCTCTCCAACAAGCTTGATGGTCAGTTGTAAAGGATGGAGTAAACACACTGTTTGACAGGGTTGTGCTACACAAACGTTCGGTCAAGCCATATTGATTTGACAAGGATACTGGTAAACTGGC